GCAACGACGACTACTAGAAGGTTCAAGTTATTATCGTGGGTCTTTGTTTGTTTTTGAAATTCGTTAATTATTTTCTACGGACAATGAAGAAATGTGAATTGAAAGCTTAATTAATGTGTTCCACAAAATTAATCAATCATTGTATGCGTTAATTATATGTATAAAAACACTAAGAGACACAGGTGTTGTCCTGTGACTAATAATTATTATACTTGTTGTAGTATAATGATATTTTTGTCCTTTACGATACACGCCAGGAAAGTGCAAATTAAGGGGTATAATAGAGTTTTCATGAGATTTATTTAATTTTATCAAATTAATTATAGTTTTTTTTTTCATAGTAAAAACACGTAATTACTTTTTTTAAAAAAAAAAACTTAGCCTAGTATTCAAGGGCATCTTGGTCGTTTTGTTTTTCTCAAAATATTTAAATGATTAAATTACTCTTCCAAAAAACAAAATACTAACTCATAGAGTTTTTTCATCTTCACATTATGAATTTTTTTTTCCTTTTGTTATTACAAAGAGATTGGGAGGCTATTGATTTGATATTTTACTAAATTTAAATATTATTAAAAAAAAAATTAATGCCTAAAACACACACATCAACACAGGAATTGCGCCAAAGGCCTTTTAACAGCACGTGCAGCATCTCCTGGTAGCCAGACATTAAATTATAGGGCTGTGTTGAAATTTGCTCGATGTCTTCTCTATGTAGCAACAGATGTGGTCAACATATCTTTGGTTTGGGGTTGGCTACCTTTTTTTTTTCTTTTTAAAATTTTTAAAGTAATTATTTGATTTGTTTTTTTAAAAGAAAATTTATCCATGTTCTTTTAACCATCATTTTTTATTTAAAATAATTTATAAAATAAAAATTATTTTTCAATTTCATCATTCTTTAATTTTTTTATTTATCATATTTTATTCTTATTTTTTTATTTTTTCAGTCTAAACCCTCATTTTTTATTTTATTTAATATTTATATCAAATTTGATCATTATTATTTTAATTAGTATTTTTTATTATTTTTTTGATTTATTTTACTTTTCAATTTCATCCCTTATTGTTTTTATCTCATTTAATTTTTATACCAAATTTGATCATCAATTTTATTTTATTTTTAATTTTGGATGATTGAGAATTTTTCTTCATGATTTTTTTTAGATATGCTTTTTATAAAGTAACACAATCTCATGATCCCAGTTATGAGTTTTGAATATTAACTCAGTTTGATTTTATTATTCTTTTAAGTTCTTTTCTTTAAATTGATTTTTTTAATTTTTTAATTTGACATTATATTGTTGGAACTTCAACTTTGTGAGTTTATCAGGCTTCTTTTCTATAGAGACATACCAAGTTAGTCGAGTTAACTTGAGATTTTTTTATTTTTTTAACTAATTTTTTTTAATTTTGCCTTTTATTATTTTATTTGGTTGAGAGTTGATCTCCATTATTTTATTTATTTTTTTGTGTGTAAGGTTATCTCGCCTTCAAAATCGAGCTCGAGTTTAGCAAGCTAAGTAAAGTCAGGTTTTTTTTTTGTCCTTTTAAAAATAATTGAATTTATCTTTAAAAGTTTGATTTGCTATTAATTAAGTTTTTGATATTTTTCCATTAGTCATTGTCTTTTTTTTTACACACTATCATTGGTTTTTTTAATCATATTGTTAAACTAACCAAACTTATTAAACCTATTCAAATCAATAAGTCGAATCCTAATTTTTTCTTACTCTTTTAAAAAAGTTATCATCATCTAAATATCTTTTTTATGTTAGGAGAAATTTGACCCGACCCACAATATAAAAAAAGCCTAGTATCTAGTAAATGTTAGAAAAAATTATTAATAATAAACAAAGATTAAATCGAGATGATAAACAATGGATGTGGATAAAGAAACATGATCTTGCGACATGTCATGCTATTTAACATTTTTATTTTAATTATGTATCATTTCAAAAAAAAATTAATTCAAAACAAAATAAATTATTAGCATAGTTCCTTTGCTATTTTTTTTTAACCTGGCTTTTCTATATACTACAATCCCTCGCATGGTCTGGGTATCAAATCCAACTGTACTAAAGTTAGCTTGACATGGCTAGTTCATCTAAGTAGGCCTAAACATGATCTAGTCGTGCTGTTCAAAACCCGATTTGGTTTCATAAATTTCTCAAGCTATCATTGTTTTAACCTTTGCCTAGCCCAATCATGCTCAAATACAAAACAATGGACTTTTAATAGATAAAATTGAAAAGAAAAGTTTAGAAAAAAAATAAAAATACAACGATATAATAGATTTAAAATAGGTTAACCCACTATATTCATGATTTAAGTCGTGACCACAATGAGCTAGCCAATTTAGCCATCTATCTCTTTCTTTTTCTTTTTCTTTAATTAGGCCTTCATTAGATTAGATGGAATGAAATACAAGACTAAATTAAAAGATTATTAAAGAATTAAGAATCAAATAAAAAATTTAAAAATGTATTAAAAAATAACAATCAAATAAAAAAACTTATTTATACATAAAATATGTGTGCTAACATGTCAGGTAGCACACCATATTGAAGAGGTGCATGCAAACTTCCTCCGGCCTCAATGGCAATCATTCTTGGTATTATTAGGATCTCTATATCCAGAGCTCTCTTACATTGTTGCCATCTAAAATGGTTTGTTGATGTGTGTACGATGTATTTACCATGCCTTTTAGTTTTTTTTTTGTTAATAATTGTATGGATTTGAATTAGCAGTAAAGTATGCGATCTTATAAGCTATTATTGTGAAAATATCATGATTGTTATTTAACAGGGTACTTGTGCATACATAGATGATATGGAATAATAATAATAATAATAATAAACGGTCCCTCTTGATATGAGAGTTATAAAGATGGTTGAAAGGAATGTCAATATAGAAATTTGAAATTAATTTAATTATGGGATTCACTCAAAGTTTAAGTTAAGATTTTATTAGAAATTATCCAATATATATAATTTAATATAAAACATCAACATAATTAATGAGAATTAATGGTGTGTGACTAAAAAATTAATCTAAAAAATTGTAAGTTGGTAAATTTTTATAAACCCAAAACCTAAATTTTGTATTGAATAGATTACAAGATTTCGAATTATAACAGTTATTTCTCCTCTCTAGCCCACGGAACACGCAAGGAGGTTCTATGCCTATAATTTCTTGTTTTTTAAACTTAATTTAGTCCAAAATGTATGATTATTTTATCAATCGAGTAATATTTTTTTTTAAATAATTTATCAATTTGGCTTAGATGTAATTGATATTAAGCAATGCTATCTTATCATATATTGTTAGTTAGCAATAAATAACACATTTTGCATAAATTACACATGATTTTTCAGGTGCTAGCTAATTCCTCTTCAAAGGGCTATAGAATATGCTCCCATAAGCTAGCAAACAAATAACAATAACGCAAGATATCAAGAACTCCCCTGCTCCTAGGGCATGTGGAGCTTAAATCTAAATTAGGGCTTTGTTTTAGAACTCTCTAGGAGGAGTTAATTGGTAAAGAATGTGGATAGAAAGGTGGCATTATATAATATCAATTATTTTAAGATAAAATGGATAAAAGAAAATAATTTGAACTCGATTGAAAATGTAACAATTAAGACATGCATTTGGAACTAAATTAAGGTTGGGAGTGGGAGACTATATAGTTGTTTACATGTTCCATCTCAACTTGTTGGTGTGGAGTCGATTTTACAATTCGGTAGTATTTATCGTTTTGCATGATCAATTACTAAATGATAATTATGTCTGATACGTTAATGTTGCTTTATTGCATCACTAGTCCTTCAAACTTTTATCTTATTCAAAACTAATGTTTCTTTATTGCATCACCAGTCCTTCAAACTTTTATCTTATTCAAAACAAGTCCTTCAATTATTGAATGCTTCTTTCTAGGTCCTAACCACCTCGACCACGTCTAGAGTTTACTGTATTTTGTATCTATCTGTTCTTAACTTTTATCATGCTATGCACCAATTTTAGTGGAAATGTGTTTGTATGGAGTGTAATTGAAGTTATTTTTTATATTAAAATATATTAAAATAATATTTTTTTTAATTTTTTAAAATTATTTTTAAAATTAGTGTATTAAAACAATTTAAAATATAAAAATATATAATTGATTTTTAATAAAAAATTAATTTAATTTTTTTAAAAACCCTCTAATAATAGTTATGACCCACCCCCTATTATTTTAAGAATGGCAATTGGTTAATTAGACTTGTGGTTAAATACATTTTTAATTTGAAAAGAAGAAGAAAAAGAAATGAGTCTTCCAAGTGAAGATTTTTTTATATAAAAAATATTAGGTGAATCGAATATATTATTTGATATAAATAAATCAGAACACATCATTTTATTTAACCACATCAATAAACATAATTATATAAAAAATGATTTGCAAATAAAGTTTTTATATTTAATTATTACATATATCATGTTTCAATTGATGAGTGCTTAAATGTGTGTTCCATAAATTTAAAAATGACCTGTCTTCCATAAAAAATATTTACCATCTATATTTACATGAAAACTTTGTAAAAAATTACTTCAAGAAAAGGAAAAAAAAGAAGAATAAAACGATTTTGTTTCCTGAAACGGAAAATAAACAAAGTTCACCTAATAATTAATATCTCAATAAATATTATCATTGTCTCTTTGTTTTTCTTTTCTCAAGAAATTTGCCATCGTTGACCTAATTGCCAACCAGCAAAAACTACAGGGACTGCTGTAAAATCTAAACGTTTCTTTTCTTTATTAAAAAAAAAGTCCAACTCCATTTCTTGCAGCTTGCAGTTTTAGTTGTCGGTGGAGTGAGGTGGGGTCAGCTTCTATTCTTTCAAATCCAGCCTGTTATTGCATAAACAACCTACACTTATTCCCCCATCCAGCGAATCCTTACCGTTGATCACTCCCAAACTTGTCCGCCCTTTAATCACTACTGGGCTTACGGTAGCCGAAAAAGACATCCGATCTAACACTCTCCAGTTCTTTTTAGTTTGGTCTGTCGGTCTCTCTCTCTCTCTCTCTCTCTCTCAATATTCGTTTCCCCTTCAACTGAAGCTCCACATTCTCTCCGGTAAGTTCAGATCTTCCATTTCTCTCAATTTCCGATGCTTCTTTCTCCATTTTAATGATCTGGGTCTCTTCCTGATTCAATGTTTAGGGTGTATACTGGGAGAAAATTACGGAGATGATGAAGATTTCCATCTGGATCATTCTTGCTCTTGCTTTGGTTAATTTAGCACTTGTTGTGAACGGAGATGAATCGGAGAAGACAATAGTGAAGACTGTGAAAGGAAAGAAATTGTGTAAAAGAGGATGGGAGTGCTTAGACTGGTCCGAGTACTGTTGTAATCAAACAATTTCTGATTTCTTCCAGCCTTACCAGTTTGAGAACCTGTTTTCGAATAGGAATTCTCCTGTGGCACACGCTGTTGGATTCTGGGATTACCGGTCATTCATTCTTGCTTCCACCAGTTTTCAGCATCTTGGGTTTTGTACCACCGGTGGCAAGGCTACGCAGATGAAGGAGCTTGCTGCTTTCCTTGCTCACGTTGGCTGCAAAACCTCCTGTTAGTATTCGTTTTTCTTTTTTAATTAATTGATTTAATGCATTCTTAACCCTATAATTGTTTTTTTTTCTTCTGTTAAATTAAATCTATCGGATCGAGTACTAAAAGTAAAATAAAACTGTGTATTTTTTGTGATTAAATCTTCCTGGGTGACCGAATTTCGAAATCTTTGTTAATTACTTGCGCTGGATAGGATGTGTTGATTTTTATTTTTTTAATAGAAGTCTGTATGAATCATGTTATAGTGAAGTTTACAGAAGTCATAGCGGTTGAAGGTGTTCTGCATACATAATTGATAGTGATGGTAACTTTAGGTGGTTATGGAGTCGCTACTGGAGGACCATTGGCCTGGGGTCTTTGCTACAACAAGGAAATGAGTCCTAGCCAGTCATACTGTGATGATTTTTACAAATACACCTATCCTTGTACTCCTGGAGCTGAATACTATGGCCGAGGTGCCATACCAATCTTCTGGTATGTTATCTTCCTTTTTGTCTACAATTTAATGATCATTTGCTTTTTTATTTGTCTAATCTTTTGACACTCCTATTCTATCTCATAAATGTACCAACATATTTATTTTCTTTCCATGGAGATAAAATTATTGGAATAATGTTTAAATGTGTACAAGTTAAGTCTGTCACTTGCATTGGTAGATCTAGTTAGATGTAATATCAAACAGAAGCTATATTTTTTATTCCCTCTTTGCTTTTAAAAATGTGGAAAGCCCATAGAAAAATTGTTTTGCTGCAATGTTAGAACTTAACATCCAAGAGAATTCAGATCATTTTTATGCTGCTACTGTAACCATAGGAACTATAACTATGGAGCTGCTGGAGAAGCTCTGAAGGAGGATTTGTTGAACCATCCTGAGTACATAGAACAGAATGCCACCCTTGCCTTCAAGGCTGCAATGTGGAGGTGGGTGACCCCGATAAAGAAATCACAGCCTTCAGCCCATGAAGCCTTTCTTGGCAAATGGAAGCCCACCAAGAATGATACCCTTGCTAAGCGGGTTCCTGGTTTTGGCACGACAATGAATGTTCTCTATGGGGATCAAGTTTGCGGCCAGGGTGATATAGATGCCATGAACAACTTCATCTCCCATTATCTATATTACCTTGACTTGCTGGGTTTGAATAGAGAGGATGCTGGGCCCCATGAATACCTAACCTGTGCCGAGCAGGTTGCATTTAATCCATCTACTTCCAGTCCTTCAGCATCCTCCTGAGCTCTTCATTCATGCGTGTTCAAGGCAGCCCCATTGAAATTATCATACCGATGCTCGTAAATAAAGAGTGGGAAATTACGCATGCAAGATTATTTATTTTGAGCTTTAGTCTGTTTGGGAAGCTCACTTATCTGGACAACTATACCATATGGATGGATTGTATGTTTCTGTAGATTTTAAGATTCGTCGTGTCTAAATTCCTTGTTGTGTCCGGTATGCAACATGTACTGTATCTACCATTTTGTTATTCAGTGTTCTTTCGCAGGTGTACTTAAGTTTGGAACCATGTGCTTTGTTTCACACAAGTTATCCTTTGTCCAACTTTTTTTTTCTTGTTTTTGTTTTTGACACATAAGTTGTTTTGTCATAGCTTTTGGTTCAAAGGACTATGCTATTTTGGCAAATTCTTGCCACCAGTATTTCTATTTACCAGTCGCTAGTGGCATTGATGCTGGATGACCCTGAACTCTTAGCCGGCTTGTTTCTTGTATCATATATTTCACCGCGTATCAATCCTTTTTCCTCGATGATATCTTACTATGTTCCGTTTTCTTATCTCATTTGTTTTTGATACTTCCGATAAGATTGGCTAGGCTCCTCCCATTTATAGGCAACACGGGACTACATTTCCCTTTCCCCCCTCTTCTTCACTTCAATTTGTGCGCCGCGTCTGCTCCCTCACTCCAATCTCCATTTCCCTCCCCCCCTTCACTTCAACAAGGGCTCCTCCCTTTCTGGTTTCTCAACTTTTTTGACTCCTTGAAAAGATAGATTTTAGACATATATACGGACTTGAACTAGATCTATAGAGGTGGGAAATGATTGTTTGTATTGGAGGTGGAGAGGAGGAGAGGGACAGGGACGCATCGCCACCCCAACCCCAAAGCATTCGCAACGCCGGCTCTTCTTTGGCTGACGTTTTGGTACCCAGGGGATCACCCAGTTCAACCCATGTAGTGGTTGTGATGGATGCCTTGAGAGGGTTCTCCTGGAAGCCCTTCCTGTGGGCGCTTAACCATGTCACCGGCACTGGCTACACTATCACCCTTCTTGGGGTCATGCCGTGGATCCCTCTTCCATGTAAGTCTTTTATTTGTTTCTCTTGTTTATCACATTCTATTTTGATCTGTGTAATGATTTTATGTATGCCAATTAACACACGCTACCAGGCTGTCAATGGCCTAAGGTTGAATTCCCCGCCCCTCAACCTCTCTGACAATTTCTTTTGACGAAAGTAATTGCCCATTACAGCTTGGAACCAGATCACCTAATTACATTTCTTTCCTTCTCAAGGGGAAGATATTAACTTCGATTTGTAAGAATGCCAAAGTATTGTGGTGGATGATTTTTTTGTTTAAAAATAAATTAAAATAATTTTATTTGTCAGAATTTTTTTTATTTTAACATAATATATTCACAAAAAAAAAAAACACAGTTTCTTAGAGTAAGTAGACGAAAGAAACATGACAGAAAAGTAAATTGTTGTTTTTTAATGTTTTAAGGTCGGTAGCCGAAAAATACGCATCCATTTCTTTCAGGTAAAATATGTTTCATTTTCCGCGTTTTTCTCATGTTTGACCTGTCTAAGAACCTTGGTCAACCAAACATATTTTAAGGTCTAGAAAGAAAAAAGAAAACCTAGTTGGAGGCTAGTCTGTTGGGCGGGTGATTATCATCTCTATTTATTATCAATTTCCTACTCATTAAAAGTATACTCTAAAATTACATAAATTCATCATCTATTGTTAATTTCATAATCAATTTTATTTATCATCAAAGTCAAACTTCAATTATATAGAGTTATATATATATATTTATGTTTTTTCTATAACTTCATGACCTCCCTTTTAATTAGTTTATACCCGCTATGTTGTGTGGATTAAAAAAAATTAAATCCAGAAAATAAAATGTGAAATTATTTATTAATGGTATTAAACTTGAGAATTTAGTCGTTTGATTTTTTTCCAATTAAAATAAATTTTCTTATTAATATATCTCTTATTGATCTTAGCAAACACAAAAGTCTTAAATTAGAATCAGTGTTTATATTAAAAAAACACAAATATTTTATGATTGTTAAAGCAATTTAAAATAAATATCAAAATATTATGTCCATAGTTTATGTGATTGAAATCTAAAATTATGAAAGATATGATAAAATTATGTTATACATTTTTTTAAGAATAAGAAAAAAATTGAATTGGATTTTCATAAACAATTTATTTTTAGTATTAGTATTTCTATATTAGATATATAGTAATTGAGAAGATTATTAAACTTCAAATACAAATAATAGTATTTAAGAAAAATTTAAGAGCAAGTGAACTTGATAAAAAAAAATTCCTAGCCAGAAAAATCAAAACAAATGAAACATAAAAGAGTAATGCTCATCACTTAGCCCACATTCATGACAATGTTTTATTTATTTATTTATTGTTGTTAAGAAATTTTTTTTTTTAATAAATAGATAATATGTTGCCTATTGAAAATAATAATACAAGTACGATTTAAAATCGTGATCTTGTGGCTTTTCTTGCTTGTTGCCAATTGAGTTAAGGTAATAAATTATTGTAAACTGATTTTTAAATTTTATTAAGTTGCTTCATTGTTCATGTAAAAAATAAAATCCAATAAAAAACCCAAGTTCTTATAAATAAAAATATGTATTATGCTAATATTTTGTATAATAATTTTGTCAAAACATCATACTAATTATATAATTATTCTTATTCATATTATTCTCATTGTATTTAAATGAAAATGGTAGTAAATCCAATATGCATGAAATATGCCTATAGAACTTAATTCTAAAGTTTCTGTACAAAGTATTAACAATCTAAATTATTTTCTTATTAACTCAAAACATATTTTACATTACACTTGTTAAATCCAAACTGGCATAGTCATCAATTGATATTTGTTTAAATGAGTTAAGGAAGAAAATTATAACAAGAAGAAACAAAAAAAAAAACATTTTAGAATATATGTACATATTCTACATTATCCGTCCATATTCAATTTTAAAATAATATTATAATATTGTTAATAAAATGTTTGAATGAAAATTAATAATGGTGTAAATAACAAATAATTGACAAATAATTGAATTATTATACAATCAATGAACTTTTAAATAATTAAAGAAACTTTAATTAATAAATGTTTATCACTGAGACAATTTCCTTGTCTTTTTTCTAGTTTTACATTTTAATAAAAAATAAATAAATCAATATATCTCTTCAAATAAAGCTTACAATATGAATTTCTAAATGATATTTTAAACTAAAACAATAATAATTAAATAAATATATCATAAAAAAGTTTGATCTAAGTTTTTAGTTTAAGACTTTTTTTCTAGTTTGATCTAAGTTTTTAGTTTAAGACTTTTTTTCTTAGTTTCTCGATTAATGTTTTATTTTATTATTTTATTATATGAAGAGATGGTTTAAGGGATTCATTTTATTTTATAACTTTCGATATAATATGATTAGCTAATAATTAGTTCCATAATTGCTTATATAGTTGTGTACATGTGTCAAAAATTAGTCTCTCATCATAGAACTCCATGTCAATCGCAATCGTTATACTATATTATACATAGATAACTTAACATTTTAAAGACATGAAAATATGATGACTTTAATTCAGACTTTAAATTAATTTTGCGTTTCGTTTGTGCTGGCTAGTGTCACTGAAGACATGGTTGGACGTCTGGACATTTGATCTTGGAGATTGGTCAGCACTCAAGGGTAGGGGTGAATGGAAGAATGACCAGAAGTCTCAGAAGATTCGAGGGATCATCCAGCTCTGCGACCAGAAAGGGGTTCGAAATTAATTTTCACACATAAATACCAAATACTTGATAATTAATTAATTGTAATTGACCAAGAGAAATGCCTTTTCATATCATGATCTCATATGTATGATGTCTTGTGCAGGTGGTTCCTTGCATGAAAGTTGCTATGGGGCATCCCTTGAAGCTTGTGGTTCTTGAGCAAACCACAAGTCTTCATGCTACCTTTGTTGTTATCGACAGGCATCTGAAAAAGAACAAAGCATTCTATGCCGACAGACTGCCAAGCAATGCAGTTATAATGAACAGTGATGGAGGTGTTGACATGCTGAAAATCCGATCAACCGATCTCTCATGTTCAACTCCGGAACAATCCCCAGCAACTTTAAATATTCCACTGCCTCCTCAGATTATTATCTCCGAAGAGCTTTCTGTGCTTCTCAGGTCCAGAATCCATCAACAGGCTGCAGATAATGATCATCAAAGAGACAACTAATTAAGGAAAATGTGTTGGGGAGTCTACTCCCCCTGCGGAACGGTGTGGAATGGTGGTGTTCATGATTATTGACTAAAGGAGGCTAAGCACACTAACACATGTACGCACGTACGGGTGTTGAATGTTCTCCCAGATTTCGAGTGCATATATAAGCATATAGCCTAAGAATCTCTGTTTTTCCTTCTTTCCTTTTCCTTTGGAACTAACAAGGGGATGCAAAATACTTTACGAAATAATATGCATAGAAGGTCTTGCGGTCTTATGATCGTGTACAAAAATATAAGAGATTTTCTTCTCAAATTTACATATGTTTACTCACAATGGACCATTATGGATATTGGGAAAACAATATCGAGAATATCATCACCAAATAACAAGATCATTTAATGGCAAAGGATCAAATCAGTGTGTCCTTTATTTCGAAAAGGAGCTTTTGAATTAGAACAAGTCACTGTATTATACATTCAAGAAAGGAAACTAAAAGGTGTTGGTGTACGTGATGGCATTAATAAACTTTAAAAAAAAAAAAATTGAGCTATTCAGATCACTACGTCGCTGACAAGGATGAATTTGAAGTGCTGGCTACTGATGGGTTAAGATGAACTATGAATCCTAAAATTCAGGTCTTAATAAGTACGTATATATTTATTTTATATTCTAAAATTTGTAGTACTGGCTACTGATGGGGTAGAGTCAGATAAACCCTATTTATCAGTAGTGCTGGCTACTGATGGCATTCTTTCATCTAGATGTGTACCTTGTGGGTTTTGATCTGTATAGCCATCCAGCTCTTCGATCGATGAGTTTACTTTTGTTTCACTGTTCATGTTGTTGGTCTTTCTCTTCCTCTGATCCCCCAATTCCTCAGTCTATATGAGCTTGCCTTCTCTTCTTGTCGACTAAAAAAAGGGTTGTTGACACCGAAACTAGGTTAACTATGAACAAATGTGGCAAACATATATATATATATATATATATATATATACATATATATATATTGGGTCG